GTCAGTTTAAGGGTCAGTTAAGGAGTCAGAGAGTCAGCTAAAGAGTCAGTTAAGGAGTCAAAGTGTCAGTTTAAGGGTCAGTTAAGGAGTCAAAGTGTCAGTTTAAGGGTCAGTTAAGGAGTCAAAGTGTCAGTTTAAGGGTCAGTTAAGGAGTCAGAGAGTCAGTTTAAGGGTCAGTTAAGGAGTCAGAGAGTCAGTTTAAGAGTCAGTTAAGGAGTCAGAGAGTCAGTTTAAGATTCAGTTAAGGAGCCAGAGTGTCAGTTTAAAGGTCAGTTAAGGAGTCCGAGTGTCAGTGTGTCACTCTGTGTATCAGTTCCTGTGTTCATCAGTATGTCCCTGTGTGAAAGAGTCAAGGTACGACTCGGTGTATCACTGAGGGCGGAGAAGAGATCAGGGGTGTGCTCTGTGGTAAACAAAGCAACATCTTTCATGGGGGTTGGCCTCTATCTTCCAGAGGAAGTCTGTCTGTTAAGCCCTCTTGTGATGGCATGACCGAAAGGGCAGCCTGGTGAAGTCTGTTCGGACTGTTCGATCACAGTAACACTATTGCACTGATGTTTGTGAACGGTTGTGAACTTTGTATTTATTGACCAGTGTCTGTCGTCCCGTTGTAAATACAAATACAAGTTGTATGTTGGATCTTCATGAGGATGCGCAGCTGAAGCAGGCCTTCCCAGGAAAGTGTGCGCTGTTTTCTTCATAATGTCACAGAATAAAATATCGACGGCTTTTTTACAAAAAGATGTCTGTCTGAGTGCTACAGGGAAAAGGAGAAAGGAGCTGCTAGCCCTACTGTCCGGACCCACACAGACTGCAGGGTTAGCACCCCCTGCTGGTCCACTAGCACCTCTTCCAGCAGCAGCCTCAGCTTTCCCAGGAGTCTCCCATCCAGGTACTGGCTCACACCTGCTGAGCTTCAGTGGGGCAGCCAGCTGTGAGCTGCAGGGTGATATGGCTGCTGGCCTTAAAAGTGTTTTCCGTGCTTGAAATGCTTGAAAATGCACAGCCACAGACCAGGACTGGACAGTCCCGACTGCCCCTGTGCCCGCGTGCTGTATGAATTACTGTCTCCTCACACAGGCGCTGTGCGTACTCCTGCACGTACAGACATGGCCTGAGTTCCAGACGCACCTACATTCCAGCAACGCTCCGTAAGATATCATTTTAATCATTCGGGCATGGGAACGCTAATCAGCATGTGAGGACGCTCTCCGGAAATGCTTAGCGGAAAGCGCGGAGCTACAGGATCGTTGCTTTCAGAGGGAAAAGCAGGAGCTCCTTCCCAAGACACGACCCCAATCTCGGACCGTGATCGCCGCGGCGGCGCTCGTGACGCACCCTCATCGAGGAGGAGCCACGGGGCGCGCAGTGACCCCAGACGGAAACGGCGCGCCCGGAGAACACGCCGATCCGGCTTCCAGCTGGACTGGGTGTTGAGTAGGCTTTTGTGTTCCAGCCGGGGGACCTGAACACCATGTCTCACATCTGGCGAGTTTGGGGCCAGAAGAAGGAACAGCAAGCTGTCGGAAAACGAACACCTCCTGCAGCTGCTGTCCTTCCTGTCCATTCTCTAACCACGTCACCCAGATCAGGGTCACGGGGAGCTGGAGTCCATCCCAGCGA